CTATTTGAGCTATAGATAATGTTTATAATATACAAAAGTGAACTAAATACTGAAAATCAACTAAGTAGTAAGTTTAATAAAGTTTTTTACAGTAATTTATAATAGAAATTCTTACAATTCAAATATAAATTAATTTATATCACCTCACTCCCTTCCTTTAACTCCTCTCTATCACAGCTATACCCTACTTTCTATACTCTACACTCATTAGACCCCTTTGAAATTTCTTACTTGCAAGCTTCCCAACTTATTATTAAAATACTTTTAACAATCTCTGACCAACTTTATAATAATATTTGAATCCTCTATTGCTTCCACTTTTTTCACTAGAAAAGAGCCTACCAAATCCTATCACAAATCAATATCATACTTCATACCTCTCTATCCTTTAGAAATTACAGAAATAAAATTAATTATACTTATAGTTGCTCCTGTGGCTTTGCCAACTATCTACATTCTGACTCTAACACTTGCCCTCTACTAGAACAAACTTCTCTTAAATACAATATTTGATTTACTATGTGAATTAAATATAGTACATCTATTAACCACATTTTAACTATCCAAATTTAGGTGAGTTTTGACCACTCAAGTAGGTTTAGGTTATGGATAAATCAGTCTAAGCTTCTATTCTTGTATGTAATTTATATTTATTTGTTTATATAAAAATTAAGTCTTTATATAGTTCTTATGTAATTACTTATATAAATTATTTAATAAAGATATGAGCAAGACTCATCTTAATGCAAAAAAAAAATTTAATTTAATCTTGACTATATACTATATCTTACTAGAATAAAAAATTCTTAACAAGATCTTTTACAGAATTTCAATATAAGCTACTTAATATATATTAAAATTAATAGAGTATTAAGTTTTGTTGCAAAATTTTTATAGTGACTTCTATTTTATTAAAATAGTATATTTCTATAGCTTATATAACAATTATATTACTTGACTAAACATTAACTGCTGCTTTAGACAATTATTTAGTAACTTTAAAATTGAAACTATACAGTTTAGGTCTGCTAATGTGACTGTTAAACTAGCAATTAGTAATATTGCCCAGTGTTATTATAACAATATTGGTACAAAGAGAGATATTTAGAAGGTATGTGTTAGAGATTATAACAATACATATAGGAGAAAATGATAAATTTTAATGCTTTCTTACTTTGCAAATTATTGGTTTATAAAATATAGAAGTTCTTTGAAAACTAATAAATTATCAACTATATCAATTCTGAACTTTATAGAGTATGGTTTTTCTTTGTTAAAAAGTTTAAATATTACTAAGTTATTATCAATATCTTTAAAAGGTATAGTGTATTTAGCAGTGAACTTTTAAATAATAAAGTTTTAAATTGTTTGTAAGGGTCATGCTTTTGTTATTCAGATCAGGCTTCAATTCAGCTTTGTAGTTGGTTATACATAACTGGCTTGTATATTTCATATAATTTTTTTCTTTTTAGCTTTTTAGAAATGGATTTTGTAAAGGTGGATTTGCAGTATATTCAAAAGAAATTCAAAAAAAAAAAAACTAGTTCATCAGTCCAAGTTTTCAAACAACCAAAAAAAACCTATAAAAATGTTACAGGTCCACTTGCAGTCGAAATTTGGATTCTTTAATATTTAGGCAAAACAGAGAAATGTTTTTATAATATCTTACAGTCACCACTACAATTGTTAGTGGCAATGGCTAGGAGATACATGGGTCTATATAGCCATTAATAGGATGCAACACATGGAGAAAACTAATAAAACTAACAGAGGTTGAGGTGAAAAATATTTGGCAAGGTAAGGCTTTAGATTGGTCTGTTATATGCATCAGTCTATTGAAACTTTTATTTAATCAGAATCAAACTTCATTATTTTTATTCAAATTGATCTGCCCTTCAACCAGTGCGAATTGCAGCCATAATTATACAAAAAGTTTAGATATACAAAAAAAAAAAAAAAAAAGAAGAATGAATCCGAAGTCCCATCGTCTATTCTATTGCATCATCACTACTGACTATAAGACGATTAGGGTCACTTGCCCTTTTTCCCTACATGAATGTAAACATCTGACTTGCACTGCCACCATTTACTCGATTTGTTGCCCTTTTTGTTTGTTTATACCCGGCAACATCACCACCTCATCTAACCATTTCAGGCGATGCTTGGTTAATGTTTTGAACCAGTGAGCATCCCATGGTTCTTATGCCTCAGCCGGGGAGTCCATTGTTCCGTGGCCTTGGGGCCATCTTGATAATATTATTATCATAGATGCAACCATGACGTCTTGACGCTTCTTCAGCGGTTTCCTCATGTTCCTGGGGCTTTCCAGGCTTGGCGCTTGGTTTGTTTTGAGAGGCTTTGTGGGGAACTGATTCCTCCACGATTCTTCACGACTTCGTGGGATACTGAGTCGGGGTCTTGGTCACGTTTTCAGGCCGCGTGACATCGAATTCGGCGCAGTAAGTTTTGGCAGTTTTGCCACTAACAATATAGATTGGAGTGGAGCATATTTTAGAAAGATTTATCTGATGCAAAAAAAAAAAAAAAACGATTAATCAATACTGTAATTGAGGTGTATTTTTGTCGATGAATAGACGGACAGAAAATTCCAGGTTATTTTGTTTGATGCTTAAATGTAAAGGATTTAGAACGTAACTTTCGTATCACTACACTAGTTTAAATCAAAAATATCGGTAAAATGTCAGTGTCTGATATATAACTGTAACCTTAAGCTAGTTTATATTGGCTTATTAAAAATTATAAAATATAGGATAGCTTTAGGTTACACATAAGTTACGTATAAGTTACATATCAGATAACGATATTTCAACTAGTGCTATGCATAGAAATCAAGGGCTCACCGCTTCGATCCGGAAAATAATATCTTTATAGAAATTACGGATAGTATATGAGTTTTAATTATTCTAGTAAGTTTATGTCATGGGAACTCCGATTCTTTCACGTATTTATGATCTAACCTGCAAAAGTTGGGTTGTAAATAAAGATGATACAAGCTACAAAAATCTAATCCAAACACGTTAAAAAGTTGATACAATCTAGTTTATGCATGTAACTGATCAAATGCGTTCATACTCATATATCGATATGGCAAGACAAATTATTAGAATTTTCGACCTTGTTATAGCGTATTATAGATTTAGATATTGAACAATAGTAATTAATTCTATAATGAACCAAGTTTATTAAAAATTTTTTATTATAAAAAAATGTCAATTCGTTAAAAAGTGAGTTGACTGTATTTATTTTATTTGGGACTAAACGTCCAGCTTTAAAGCAATAGTTTCTTATTATTATGAGCATTAAGAAATTTGATGTACCATTATTCTAGACTGTCAAAATTTTCAAAATTACAAACAGTTCTTCGTATTCGAGTAATAATACTAAATTAAAGATTATGATAAACACTTTTTTTGGAAATAAGAATAAATTCAATTAGAAATACTGTAACTTGGGAAAATGTTGATTCATTCCATTAAAATTATAATTTGTATATTTGAATTTTGATAAAAATAAAGAATCTTCTAATTGGATGATAAATTTTTAATGCAGTACCGTAGCCAGAATTTTAGTGATACGTGTAGCATACTTTGGTTCGAAATAACACATTTTAATAACTTTGTAAAATTTACAATTTTGAAGGTATACTACAAAATAAATATATATAAACTGTTATAAATATTGATAAGAGTAATCATAAAAATTACAAATGATGTTTTCAATCATTTCGATATTATATCTGTAACGCGGTAATACTACGTAGCTTCTAGCATCTCTATCCAATATTGTGTAAAAATGGGTTCTACTCCAAAATCACGAAAGACAGATTCTCGAAAAGGACACAATACCGACAAAGTTAGCCAGCATTAGTTATAATGCTGGCTAATTTAGTCAATATTATGTTCTTTCGGGGAAATGGCCTTCGGGATTTTGGGGTAGAACCGTAAAAATGATGATTGGATATTACGATACCCAATAGCAGCACATTACATAAATAATGTCGTGTAATAAAAAAGGTGAAGATAGTCTTGCCAAAATTACGTACAAAGGAGTTTTATATGATACTGATAATGGCGATCATTGATTATCATAGTAATTTGAAAGAAGCGACCCTGCGTTGGCTTACGGAACTTAAAACTCCGTACGATTTGCTTGATCGTTTAAAAAGGAGTTGATCGTTCCTCAATCTACATTCGGAAAACACTTGATAATCATAGTAACGTACAGAAAGTCTTTAAAAAAATGGATATTCTTGAAATACAAAGTTATTATTTTAAGTATTTAAGATATTACTATTTGAAGATTTGTATGAATCATTCTAAAAGAAATATTCAAATCAAAAATGGTTCGATATTCAATTTATTGAAATTACTTTAATTTTTGATACGTAGTTATATCATTTCAGTTCTTAATTAGTATATATTTGTGCAAGTTCATTTTAACAGTTTTATTTAAAGACGTAAATTACTTCATATTATTAACTAAGTATTGTTTGAGAATACGTAATTGTTCGCTGTCTTTTGTACAATGTCATTTTTAAATACGCTTATTTTTTTTTCTGAATTTGTTTCTTATGGGATTAAAATTATTGCGGCTTTTTTACCAATTGGATGGATAGCAGTTATATTTGCACATAGTTACGGCAAACAAAAAGAAGTTGAGTCAGAATTAATAAATGTAAAAGTGAAGAATAAGTGCGATGATAATCTTCCTAAAACATCTTTAGCTAGTAATACTACACTAGGCTCAGTTTCTAAGGCAGAACAAACATCCTTACCCATTGCAAACAACAAAGATAACAGCCCACCTGATTTCACCGAAGTTTCAAAGTTCTTTAAAGAGCTAAAATCAATTAACAAAAAAAAAGATAACAATACTCCTACGAAAGACGAAAAAGACAGCAATATTGTTACAACAGATAAAAAAGACAGCAATATTCTAAAAACAGAGAAAAATGGCAGCAATATTCTTATAGCAGAGAATAAAGATTGTAACACTCTTACGACAGAGAACAAAGATGGTAATACTCTTACAACAGAGAGCAAGAACGGTAATACTCTTATGACAGAGAACAAAGACGGTAATACTCTTACGGCAGAGAGCAAAGACGGTAATGCTCTTACGACAGAGAACAAAGATGGCAATTCTCTTATGACGGAGAAAAAAAACAGTAACATTCTTACGTCAGAGAATAAGGATGATAACACTCTTACGACTGAGAATGAAGATGGTAACACTCTTACGACTGAGAATGAAGATGGTAACACTCTTACGACTGAGAATGAAGATGGTAATACTCTTACGACTGAGAAAAAAGACGGCAAAATTATTAAAAAAGAGATGATAGTTTGTATGCAAACAATAGTTTATGATTGCACCCCAACAGAATTGATAAAAGAAGATGAAAATACTTTTGTTTATGGTATTATTTCAAACAATTATTTTGATATCTAGTATATATTTACTTGTTTACTTTTTTTATTAAATGATATTATTTTAGAATATCTACGTTAAAACTGCTAAGATAAATTTATATTTAATTTTTATATGCTTGTAAATTTAATTTTTGTACTTTATTTTTTGCCATTAGCCTTACAATAATCATGAAAACTCTGTAGCATTTAATAAAATTGCATTTTCTTAACTCAATCCTGGAGAGTTTAGTTTACACCAATTCCTTCGTTGATGATGTTTAGATTGAAGTTCTAAAGTTTACGGTATTACTTTAATGAGAGTTACGTACAATGATTATTATTATATTATTTTCCAAGTATATCCTGCCAGTTACGTTTATTACAAATGTTGCTGCTCTTTGGCAATTTTCTTGTAATTTTGAAATAATAGGTATTTAAAAAAATTTATTTTTCTTATAAATGTTATATGCAAAATTTTTAGTATATTCCTAATAGAATAAAAGTTTTGTAAGAATAATAAACCTATACATTTTTTTCAAGTCTTGTTACTAAACGTTATTAATCATAGCTCGGATAAACTTGTTATTATAGTAAAACTAAGTCTCTCACTTATTTTTACGATGAATTATGAGAATCAGCTAAAAAATTATTATGTAAGTAGCATTACATAATTAATTCCTTAACTCACAATTTTATCCGCATTATCTGGTCTAGAACTGTATTAAGAAATTTATGCCTGGCCTGGGCGTCAAATTAGCCGGATTACCCGAGTAAATTATAATAACTACCCGAGTATAATCTAATTCAAAGTAGCGCCCAAAGGGTTTTAGAATATTCGGTTCTAATTAAAGGAAAACATCAATGAATATCATGATATGCTTTGTATTTACTAAATTTATTAGTAGATTCCAGTTAAAGTTAGTTCCATTTTAAAGTGTGTACCAATGCTATAAAAATACAAAAGCTTATGTTAAATGATCTTTTCTTGATTATCAATTCCGTGTTTAAAAAAAGCTTTATGGTAGCATTACGATTTGCCTTAAGATTTTGCAACTCTACAGGGAAAAACTGGAATTTGCTCCTTTTTATGCTCGTTTTACAAGGTAATTATTATCGATCAAATTGGGCTTAGACTGAACTTTAATGTCATGGGATCGAACCAACAATTATCAAGCTAACCTTAATCGCATTATTAAAAAA